AATTAATTAATTAAAAAAGACATGCAGATGGCCAACAAGCACATGAAAAAATGCTCAACATCTCTAATCATCAGGGAAATGCAAATTAAAATCACAGTGAGATATTACCTTACTCCAGTTAGAATGGCTTTTACAGGCGAAGACGCAGAGAAAAGGGAACTCTTCTACATTGTTGGTTGTACTGTAAATTAGTACAGCTATTATGGAAAACAGTATGGAGATTCATCAGAGAATTAATAATTGAAGTACCTATGTCCCTGCAATCCCACTACTGGATATATACCCAAAGGAAATGAAATCAATATATCGAAAAGAAACCTGCACTCCCACATGCATTGCAACACTATTCACAATAGCCAAGAGATGGAATCAACCTAAATCCCCATCAATGGGTGAATGGATTAAAAAAACTATGCTATATATACACAATGTAATACTAACTAGCTATTTAAAAAAAATGAAATCCTGTCATCTGCAACAACATGGATGAAACTGGAGACCATAATGTTAAGTGAAGTAAGCCAGGCACAGAAAGACAAATACCACGATCTCACTCATATGTGAAATCTAAAAAAGAAAAAGTGGTTCTCATAAAAGTGAAAAGTAGAATGATGGTTACTAGAGGCCAGGAGTAGAAGGGGACATGGGGGAGAGAGGGGAAGTAGTAGATTAACAGGTACAAAGTTATGCTCTCTACCCCAAGTGAATAAATATGCTGTTTGTGCATGTATTGAAACAGCACCCTGTACCCTACAAATATGTACAATTAAATATTCAAATAAAATTTAAAAAGAAGTTTTGTCTAGAGCATAGTAAAAATTCATACAACTAAATTAGAACTAGGCAGACCATCCAACAGAAAAATGGTTAAAGGACTTGAACCAGCCCTGAACAATAAGAGAATTTCTAAATGGTTAATAAACACATTAAAAAGTAGTTTAACCTCACAAATAATTGGGGAAGAACAAATAAAACACAATGTGATACTACTCCACATCCAACAGGATGTCTCAAAAGAAAAAGAAAAGAAAGCATGAACAGCAGCAAGCTTTACATAGAATGCTCACGTTCTGCAGGTAGGAGTGTGGTTTGGTGCAATCACTTTGCAAAACTGCTGAACAAACACATACACACCCTCTTTGAGCCAGCAATTCCAGCCTTACGTATATACTGAACAAAAACACACATGTTCGGCAAAAGACATGCACAAAAATGTTCATAGCAGGACTGTTTATAATAGCCAAGAACCTGAAAACAACCCAAATGTCCATCAACACTAGTACAGATGAGTAAATTGTGAAATATTCATACACTGGTAAAATACTAAATAGAAATGAAAATGAATGAAACTCGACTATACACAACATGGATGACCCTCACATATGTAATGTTAAGAAAAAAAAGATATGAATGGAAGTACGCATGATGTATGATTCCATTTCTATAAAGTTGAATAACATGCAAAACCAATCTGTGCTATTAAAAGTGAGGAGAGTGGCTTTCTCTGCGGAGCTGGAGGGGCGAGTCAGTAACTGGTACAGGTGCTGAAAGGCTTCTACAATTTCGGTAATGTTCTTTTTCTCACTCTGGTTTTTAATTACAGAAGTGTGTTTACTTTGAAAATGCATTGAGTTTTGCGTCCTTTTTACAGATAAAGGGTAGGCGGGTTTTCAACACATGAGATGTGGAGTAGAGACATTCAGGTAAAGATAAAAGTATGAACACACTTTGAATTTTCTGGCTTTCATTCTTTTTGAGGTACAAAAAGAAATAAATGAAGTTAATTACAGACATTTTAGGCAGTGGATTTGTGTACTGGATGTGGGTCATATTTATGTAACATACTGTCAACATAGATGAACTGATATTTGATAGATGATTATTTAATTAACTAGCATTTTGAGTAAAGGAAAATAAACACTTGAGCCACAAAAGGCTAGATTATCAGTAATATCACTTTTCAGTAGCCATAATCATCACCAAGCTCTCCCAGCCCAGACACTTTTAACATGAGTGATGGTGCTTAAGGAATAATACAGTTGCTGAATGAAAATTCTGTATATTTATTAAAAGGCAAAAATAACCCCCCTTTTTTTTTTCTTTTTAGAAAACTTCCGATAGGTGTTCATCAGCATGTTTCCCTCTTGTTCCAGCTGCTGAATCTCCAGATACAGCTTATACACCTCCAGGGCCATTTTCACGTCCTCTGGGCTTGGGAGACACTGCATGAGGTGTTTGCCTTCAAGCACTTGGTCACAGTCTTTAGAAACCTCCTGAAAGTGATTTAAAGAAATGAGTGAGGGAGGGGTGTGTTTTGAGTGGCATTACTGGCAAAAGTGAGATTGATCTGAAGACTGACGGATGAAGAGAAAACCAGGAGACACTTTTCATCCTAGCAAGCGTTCACATGTAGGCCAAGCCCAGGTCTGTTATTGCACAGCAGCCAAGCACAGCTGAGGTGGGAAAGAGGCAGAGCTGCAAAGGAGAACCACAGCACCTCTGCAAGGACAGCCCAGGGATGGTTCTGATGACCAACCAGAAGTGGAGCAAACGCACAGCACTTACTGTAGAAGATGTAGAGCCTACAGATCAGGACATCTGGGTATATGGGACCCTCAAATCTAGTCATTTTGGCTCTAGCCACAGAGCAGGAAAATTTGCCTCTCTCACACCCTACATTGCTTCAAGGTTGAAATGCTAATTTTGATAAATTACTTACGCAGCCTGACAAAGGTCAGATGTCACCATTGCTAGCTGAGAGAGAGCTTTAGGGGAGGCCACCACGTTTAGGGGTTGATAGCACAGAACTTCCTTGAATTGTGCCACTTACCCTCTCACACGTGGGCAGCTTTGGGTACCAGGTTCTGTTCTCTGAGCAAGTGATACTTTGGGGACCAACCACACCATAGCCAGAGCTGCATTGGATGGTGACATTTTCAGGTTCAACATAGTGATTCTTAGCCACAGACGGCATTCCATTTTC